TCTTAACTCTCTGATATTAAACATTTCAAAGTAGTTAAAATTTTTTTTCAAAAGACCATTCAGATAAAAATTCGAAAAGCAGATAATTTCAAATTCTGCGTAGGCCTGAGGGTTATACTGGCCCTCTTGATATCTCCTTCCCTTTGGTTTCTAATATTTTGTGATTACCTGATGGCACACAAACTTATTTAAAGTCCTCGGAATTGGTGTCTTCAGAGATCTGCATTACTACTTTCTATATTTGTGTTGACGCTATTGCTGTTGGAGAGATGAGAGGAGGCAAGAGTTTAGCAGAACTCTTTAAGTACCCGTAAGATTTGTTTTGACCCAGTCCTTCCTACTGCTCTTGTTTATGAACACACAAAGGGTTTTTTTTCCCCTGGGCTCAGTTGCTTGCTGCACAGAAAGCCAATTACTGAAATAAGGAGAATTGTCAAGAAAGAAAGGGAGTTTATTATGGGAGGACATCGACCAGGAGGTGGGAGGATGGCCTCAAATCTGCCTCCTCAACTAGCAGGCTTTTTTCTAGAATTGAAATGAATAATACATGAAGTGAGTGAGCATCATTACATGTTTGCGGTGGAGTACAGGGCACGCAAGTGCAGTGAGAAATCATACTGGCACATACATGGCATGATCAAAAAATGGCAGATGAGCCCCTCCCAGGGTGGAGATTTTAGTAGCGTGATGAGCTAAGAGGTAATATCAGTTATCTTTCTGGTCTTATGGGCATGTGGGTGGTGGGGAGTAGGTTGCTCAGCGGGTCCTTGGGCAAGATTTGTGGTGGAATGTCGCTTGTCTTGACTTCTCTGAACAATCAGTAGTATAAGGCCTTGTGATTATCTCATTACTGCAAGGAGGGTCCACCATTTCTGAAAAACAACTCAAGAGGGAGGGGATCAGTAAAACAGAAAATTACAAAGTTCTGGTCAGCAAGTCTTACTGGCCTGGGAACTTGAAAAATAAGAGAACTGCAAAATGGCATTTTTGTTCATGGAGCCAGTTCTGTTAGTAGGCATCTCAGTACCTCTCAGCTCTCACACTGAGTGATGAAAAGCAAAAAGAAGGTGAAGGATGATGTTACTAAAAAGGCAAGCTGGACTAGGACCTTGCTACTCAAAGAGTGGGCCGTGTGCCATCATCCTGGAAGCGTGTTAGAAATACAGACTCTGGGGCCGCACCCCAGACCTTCTGGATCAGGACCTGTACTCTGTGATACTGAATAATATATAGCAAAAATGTATTGTTATGTTCATTTAATCCTGCTTTTAACTTTTAAAACCTACCATTTTATTGCTTTAAACTCTATTTTTTGTCCTTCTCAAAGTCAGAAGAAGCAAAGAGATACTTGTTTAAGATCTACAAAAATTACATATCAAGGTGGCATCCTTGACTTGTCAAGCTATGATGGTAATATCAGTGTGTAATTTCTCACAGGTAATGGAAGAAAACAAGGACAGGTTTTCTGGTGCCCCAAAGCATGGAGGATGGATTGTGGACAACTGCCCTATTGTAAAAGAACTATGGATGGTCATAGTCGAAAAAGGAATTATACCTGATTTGATAATCTATTTATCAGATACAGAAAACAATGGTTGGTAAATATTTGCTATGTAAATTTGAAAGTGAAGTTTTTATTGCTGATAATGTTTTTGATTAAAATATAGAATGGAATACTCTCCACCGTCCCTAGATACAAATACCATTCCAGCAATCCCTGCAGGACCTAGAGGTACACAAAATGAGGCTTCCGTCTACTGAGGAGGTGGCCAGGGAAAAGTATTGGTACGCTGAATGTTCCAGCAGGCCCTTGTAATTGTTCCTTGAAGCTGAGAATTTTAAACACACACACACACACACACACACACACACACACACACACAGAGTCAGCAGCTATAACTTCTAAAAGAACAATATGTAAGACTGAGGGCAAAGACTATATATTCATCCTCCTTCACTTCAAGTGGTAAAAAATAGGTACATAAAGATAGCAGAGGTAAATTTTAATTATTCTGTCATTTTGCCTCTTAAAGAAATATGTTTGAAATGAGAATTTCCAGAGGAAAAATATGTGTACTACTTCCTTTCATGTTTTAGTTATTTAGACTGTACTAATATATACCTTTTTAAAAAGGATTTAAGATGATCTATAAATATTTTAAAGACTGTGGGCTCTATTTACATTCTTTGGATATATTTGAATATAGGCAGAAATAAATTTTTGTGTTGATTTCCAAAATATATTTCACTCTATAAGCTTTGAAAATAAAATTATTCTCTTTATCTGTATTTCAGGAAAATGTTTACTTAATAGACTATATTTGGAGAATAAATCTGAAATTGATGCTAAGATTTTAGAAAGATTATTAGATGAACTACAAAAGAAAAAAAAAGAGGAAGAAGAAGCAAGGTAAAATGTGCCTAGAATGATAAAATAGATGAATGTATCTTTCATAGCTGTTAAATATCTTCTTGGGATTTACACTTATGAAGCATATTTACTATCAAAATGATAATTTGTTGACTTGGTCTGATTCTAATTAATTCTAAGAAAAACGGTAATTTCACTAACACTTCCAGAATCTCCAAAGTATACAGTTATGGATGTTTTCACACAAACTTATTCTCTTAATA